CGTCTTTTTGGGGCCCCCCCCCCCCCCAAGGCAGGATACAAACAGGTCATGGGCATTCGTCCCGCTGTGAAGGCAAAATTCGCTGAGGTTCAGGCGTTGTGCAAGACTGATCCAGACATTTTGGGAGTGGTCCCACTGGGAGTCTTGGGCAATGACGAGCAAGGTGCAGGCGAGCAGGATTCCGAAATCTTGCTGAAGTCTCATTCTCTATTTTACTCCAAAGCCGATTCCGGTTGCTGGCGCTCTCTGTCTCTCCCCCCTCTTGAAAAAGTATAACAGACTAAAGGCAGGATCTAGATATAGGATTGGCAGTTTACAAGCAAGATAAGCTTGAACTCCAAGTGTGACTTAATAGGTGTCGGCCAGCCTTGGTGGGATTGACTTGCACAAACTGGGTTATATAACCTTTTGCTTGAAGGAATGTAGTCTGCTCAGAAAAGAACAGAGAGAGAGAAATTGAGGGGGAGCAGCACTGCATGCGAAAATGAGGACACCTATATCAAAAGCCAAGAGAGTGAAGTTGGTGGCCTCGTGGGTAATATTTGGATAAAATGCAGTGGAAAGAAAACAAAAGCAATATTGTGACAAGAGTCCACCGCAGACTGCCAGACCAAGGGAAGGAGGGGACGACGTGTTGTCTGTCTGCCTGTTTACTGTATTTTATCTTCTCCTTGGGACTCAAGTGAGTCACGGTGTTATTTTAAAATGTCATCCTAGAGAAAAAACTGGTAGATTTACCGATGTTTCAGACGAGCATGAATTAGTAATCATGGGAGACTTCAACAGCCCTGATATCTGTCGGGAGGCACACAGTGAAATCCTAAGCAAAGTTACACCTTTCTCAGCCCACTAACTTCAGTGGAGTTAGAAGAATGGAACCGTGCTTAGGCAGGCGTGGTTTTAGTGATTCTGGGGCCCTGGGCCCAAGTCAGTGATCGGACCCCAGAATCACTAGGTATGGTAAGTGAGGCAGCAATCCAGACAGCACCCCACCACTACCACCCTACAGTTGAATTATTTATTTAGAAGAAGAAGAGAAGAAGAGATTGGATTTATACCCCGCCCTTCACTACCCAAAGATGTCTCAGAGCGGCTTACAAACTCCTTTCCCTTCCCCTCCCCACAACAGACACCCTGTGAGGTAGGTGGGGCAGAGAGAGCTCTTGACAGAAACTGCTCTTTTTCAAGGACAGCTCTTATCAGAACTACGGCTTGCCCAAGGTCATCCAGCCAGGTGAAGTGGAGGAGTGGGGAATCAAACCCAGTTCTCCCAGATTAGAGTCCGCGCACTTAAGCACTACACCAAACTGGCTCTGCATTTATATGCTGCATTTATATGCTCTCCCTAGTTAGGTCAACCAAGTGGCTTACATAGTTCTCCTCTTCTTCCTTTTATCCTCACAACAACCCTCAGGTTTGGCTGAGAGGGAGTGACTGGCTATAAGTCACCCAGCAAGTTTACATGGCAGAATGGGGATTCAAACCCAGAGGTCAAATCTGGCACACTAACCACTACAATGCGCTGGCTTTCATGACCCAGCTTTCATTATCTAGATACATCTGACCCAGTAGGCTGTGGTTCCTGAAAGCTTATGTCATGATGAATTGTTCAGTTTTCCCACACACCACAAGGTGCTGCCCTTCATGACTGCACCCCAGAAAGGCTCCACGTAGTAGTAGTAGTAGTAGAAGAAGAAGAAGAAGAAGAAGATTGGATTTATTTCCCACCCTTCACTTAGAGTCTCAGAGTGGCTTACAGTCTCCCTTCCCCTCCTCACAACAGACACCCTGTGAGGTAGGTGGGCCTGAGAAAGCTCTTTCGAGAACTGCCCTTGAGAGAACAGCTTATTTATTTATTTATTTGTACTTTTTATTTATATTCCACCCTCCCTGCATGGGCAGGCTCAGGGCTGCTCTAACAGAACTACGGCTTGCCCAAGGTCATCCAGCAGCTGCAAGTGGAGGAGTGGGGAATCAAACCCGGTTCGCCCAGATGAGAGTCCACACACTTAACCACTACACGAAACTGATAGTACAAAGCTGCAGGAGGTGGAGGGGTAAACACAGGGCCAGAGGTGCCAGAACTCTCAAGGGGCAATGAAGTTTTCAATCTGTATAATGAAAACTCATGAACTTTAAAATATTTTTTTAAGAGTTTTGTCGAAGAGGTTCCAGAACACCGTTCTGGCGTGTTCCCCCAGAAAAAAAAAGACCTGGGTGAGCAGTTCACTTTGCAAAAGACGTGCAAGGTTGTTGCAAGCAAAATTTTAAAAGGGCTTTTTTTCATCATACATAAAAACATCCATTAAAAATAAGGCTTTAACTGGGCACAGGTGAAATAAAGGGCAAGTCACAAAGAAAGGAAGGCACCACCAAATGCAGGGGGACATCCAATGGCAGAGGTTCCTGCTACAGTAGAGGTAGACTTGGTGAGGCAGACTGATGCAAGGTGATGTGCGGAGGGGCCACTGGATGCCAGCTGGGTGTGTGAAACCTCATTTCAGCTAATCCATTCTCTCTCTCTCTCTCTCTCTCTCTCTCGCCTTCAAGTTGCAGCTAACTTACGGCAACCCCACAGGGTTTTCAAAGTAAGAGATGTTCAGAGGTGGTTTGCCATTGCCTGCCTCTGTATACTGACCCTGATATTCCTTGGTGGTCTCCCATCCAAATACAGACCAGGGCTGACCTTGCTTAACTTCTGAGATCTGATGAGATCAGGCTATCTCTGTCCTATCCAGGTCAGGGTACAACAATTCTAGTTGAACATTTTAAAAATCAATCTGTAATGTATCCGCCATTACCATGCAGTCAAGCACAAGCCTTTAGCTTCGTTCATTTAGAACAATAGCCAAGCGGATCCTAGCCCGCACCAATCAGAGGGCCAGGTCCGCAGCCGAGAGCCTATGAGACTCTCGGCTACTGTAAATAACCTATAGGGTGAATAGGGGCGTGTTTTGGTGGTGGGTTTTCTGTGCATATATACCGGCCTGCAGTGTAGGGGGAGGAGATGCTCCTGCCTCCCTGCCGTGACATTTTCCCAAGCCAGAATGGCACACGGGAACATTATTTGCTCTGTCAGAGGGGTTCCACTGAATGCATGCACATGGAGACCTTCATGGGGCACCCCCACAGCATTTTAAAGTGGAGTTCCCACCGGGAACTCACAACTCCAATGTGGCTGTGAGTTCCCGTGGTAGGACTCATGTACCTCATAATGTGTAGCTTGGCCCTTAGAGCACTGGCTCGACATTAGTTTTTGATCAAAGTGTTTTTATCGTAAGTGACTGAAATGCAGTTCAAAGTAATTCATAGTGAAGTCTGTGGTTGCATGCAGCAGTGCTTGGTTGCTGCCTTTTTGTTGGGCCGTAGACACGAACCTTACCTCATGTTTTGTCTTGCTTTCTGTCCTGATTCACAGATACTGGCTTGGGAGATTCTGTGTGTTCCAGCCCCAGTATGTCTAGTACCACAAGCCCTAAGCTGGACCCTCCTCCTTCCCCTCACGCTAACAGGAAAAAACATCGCAGGAAGAAAAGCACTAGCAATTTTAAACCTGACGGTATTTCAGGCACTGCTGAAGGTATCTATTTTACATTATCTTCACATACCGTATTGGCACGTCCCAAATGTCTCACTGCTGCCTTCATCTAGGGGTATTTTTGTGTTCTGCCGCTGACTTGCTGTGGTATCCTGGGACAGTAAAAAAAGAAAATCTGTCATTTTGCAGAGATGAGCCAACTTCTTGAGATGATAGACTTCTTTCATTAGTCAGCTGTAAAAATTCAGGCTGCATCTGTAGGATACCCTCCCAACCCACCCTGTGAGTGAGTCCCACCAAACTCATACCCATGTGCAGGACTGTAACATTGAATTCTTAGACTTCTATTACAGAAATACTTCTGTCCCGTGTCAGTTGTCCCCCCCTAGACAGACTAAACAATCTGCTGGAAGCGTTCTTCTTTATGCCACAACACACTAGCTTTATTCTTAAAATTAGTGATCAGATGCACAGATATCATTTTGCTGTTTGGATTGGTTTGGGTTGTTTGCACAACTTAACTCATTAATGCTTTTGATTAAGGCACGGTTACCAGAACTACAGCCTCTCTCTCTCTTTGCTGATGAAAGTCAGTGAAGGCAATGAATTAATTTTAAAGTTGGAACTTAGTAGATGCAATCTTTGCGAAGGGACTGGGCAAATGATTTTGATATTAGTATTTTGATGGTATTGATGTTTTTAGAGGAACATTATGTTCAAGATTCTTTCAAAATACATCAAAGAGCATTCAACAGCAAAAGTTTCTAAAGAGCAAATCCCACTGTATTTGGTTATTTATTTATTGACAAAATTTCTAGGCTGCTTTTCTCCTGTGAAGACTCAAGGTAGCTAACAGTAGTAGCTTAAAAAACAATCCAAGCTCATATACATTTCAGAATAAATAAAACACCAGCCACTACCAGAAAATACAGAGCAAATACACTGACCAAATGCCCTCTTTATTTTATTTATTCATTCATATATTTAGTTCAATTTAACCCCACCCTCCCTGCCCGAGCAGGTTCAGGGCGGCTTACACAAATGGCAACAAGTAAATAACAAGTCTTCTCCAGCAACATAGCATAAAAGCCCCAAAATGTGAAAAGCAATAAATAAACCCATGAAGCTGCCTTGTAGAGTCTCAGACCAGAGGTCTTTCACATCACCTACTTTCTGGTCCTTTTAACTGAAGGTGCCAGGGATTGAACCTAGGACCTTCTGCAGAGGTTCTTCCACTCAGCCACAACCAATGCTCCCTCTAAGCTGTGGAGTCTTGTGAGCAAAAATTCTACCTTGTGAGCTACCAGCATTCAAGTTGTGAGCGGGAGATTTGGCTACTGCATAAATTAATTTGCTCTGGAGCCACCCCTTCCTGAGCTAAGACAAAAATCTCTGAGCTGGAGGCTAAAAAGCTGTGAGCTAGCTCACACGAACTCAGCTTAGAGGGAACACTGGCCACAACCCCTCTCCAATGACGTAAAAACTAATAGCAATACTACCTAATTGCATTCAAGCAGTATCCAAATACAGTCAGGCCCCAGAAGAACCCTGGAAAAGAAGAGACACTCATTCAAAAGAGAGCAACTGAGTGCATTGCTGGTCATTCCTGTGAGTTACAGAGGCAACGTGGGAAAAGATCCCAGCACTAGAGATCCCAGCGAGTCCACAGCCACCAGCCACCCCAGGGGAAGGCTCAGTAAAATTGTTCCCAGGTGGCTCTCTCCCTTGCAGCTTGGAGATTTCCGGGCAGATAGGGAGCTTGCTGGAAAGCTCCGAAGGTGAGAGGACTTCCCCCACAACTGGAACGGTGGTTAGCCTTCTAGCTGCATTCTTTACTTGGCTCCTTTGGGCAGTTTGGGGGAGACTACAGCCGGGCCGGGCCCCTCTCCAGTGGCAAGCTGGCGGGAATCAAGCAGGCCCAAATATAGCGGTGGCATATTTCCCCACACTTTTCAGTCCTTCCCCAGACTGGATGTTGCAGACCTATAGGAGCCCCTGGGCCCTTCCACCCTGCTTTCTCATTCAACAAGGGAGTCAACTAGGCCCTCAGACATTGGGGTATCCAGCTCCTGTCTGGCCCATGACGAATCCCAGCCGCGCTTCAGCTGCAGGCAGAGAGGGGAGAGAGTGCAAAAGGGCTCATTCCAGGAGGGATTCTCATTCAGTTTTGTCACACAGATTGCCCCTTTCTTTGAGGTCCCCGCCACCAGACAAGCGGCTGAGAGGGACCATCAGAGGAAGAGGGTTCCCTGTCCCCAGATGCTTCTGAAACCAGGCCTGGTCGTGGAAGGCACAGGTAGGCTGGACATGGGAGGGAGTATAGAAATCACAATGTTCCCTCTAAGATGAGTTAGTGTGAGCCAGCTCACAGTTTTTTAGCCCCTGGCTCACACATTTTTATCTTAGCTCAGGAAGGATGGCTCCAGAGCAAACTAATTCATGCAGCGGCCAAATCGCTCGCTCACAACTGTAATGCCAGCAGCTCACAGAGTAGAAGTTTTGCTCACAGGACTCCATAGCTTAGAGGGAGCATTGCCCAGGACCTGCCATGGAATTGGATGAACTCCCTTCAGCAAAGGGCTCTTTTTGTCAGCTCAGACAAATTGGAGAGAGACTAATCAGGGGAGGAGACGTCTTTGCAGGAAAATTCAGCTAAGCTTTTCCTACCAGAACATCTTTGGTGTTTTTTGCGAAAAGTAATCCAGTCTCATTATCAGATAGAAACTACAGGGGTTCCTAGGTCCTCAGTGTCTGCTAAGTTAGATGGGAGAGGCTTCAAATGATCAGCAAAAGGGTCTTCAGCGTGTCCCTTCCCAGACCTTTTTGACGGCATCCTTAAAGCAGACTGGGTGACTCGCTCACAGCCATTGCCAAGAAGTTCTGTGCCCTCTCAGAGGATACCTTGAAAGACTTAAAGGTCCCTCTGGTGGATGCATCTATGGTTGTGTTACACTCGGGGGTGGTCCTGTCCAAAGACAGCGATAACACATTGAAGGACTCTGTAGATAGAAAAAAATGAAACTGTGCTCAAGAAATCTCATGAAACTTCTTTATTAGCTATACAGGCTTCATTAGTTCTGTCCAATTTTACAAGGACAATCATTTGCAATATCTAGATGTGGATCTGACCACTCTTAAGAGATCCCTTCTGAAAATCAAGAGGGCTGCAGAATTCACCTCTGAAGCACCTCAGGATGCAAAGTAGGTCTGTGCCAGAGCACAGGCAGCCAACGTAGTGGTTATGCGGAACCGTTGGCTGAAGCACCAGAAGGTGGATGCCTTGTCCCAATCTAATCTGTTGGCGGAAAAAAACAGGAAGCTCTCAACAAAATGCTAATGGAGACCAAAGAGAAGAAGAAGGCCATTCCATCGACCTCCACTTATATGGATAAGGATGGGAAAGCAAAACCTTTTCATTCCTTTTGCAGCTACAGAGCTCCAATGTGAGGAAGAGATCCCAAAGACCTCAGGGGTTCACGATCCTCAGCTTATCAGTCAGAGTTCCAGCAGAGACCTACTCCCAAAACTGGCAGGACAGGAACCAGGCGAATAAAAAAACAGCAAGCGTGACTGGGAAGAATTGACTACAACAAATCTATAAACAAGGATTGGTACAGGATAGAATCTACCTCTTCTCCTCACCACTTTACTGCGTCCCCGGTTCCCAAGACCTAACAACGACTGTTGTTGTTGCAAGCTGTACACCACCTCCAACAGATTGAAGCGGTGGAACCAGTACCTACAGATCAGCATTTCAAAGGAGTTTATTCAATTCTGCTTCTGGTCCCAAAGAGATTTGGAGAATGGAGAGCAATTCTAAACCTGTGGGTACACAAACACGAATTCTGGATGGAATCTCTGTAGTCTATTCTACAGATTATTCACCAGAACGGCTTTCTCACATCTCTGGATCTCAGGGAAACTTATTTACATGTTCCAATACATCAGGCATCCAGATAATTCCTCCATTTTTATTTCCAATGTCAACTTTTCCAGTACAAGGCTCTTCTTTTCAGCCTTTCGGCCTCACCCAGGATGTTTCCCAAGATCCTTGTTGCTCTAGTAGCACGTTTTGTACCAACAGGAGATTCATCTTTGCTTGTATCACAGTGACTTTTTGATCAGGGCCAAAGATGTGGAAGCAGTGGCAAGGGACACGATTGAAATGCTTCAGGCACATGGGTTCCCAATCAGTGACAGAAGAGTCATCTCATTCCATCCAGAAGTTTGATCCATCTGAGTGCAAGGATAGAAACAAGCCAAGGGAAGGTCGTCCTGCAGCAGAGAAGCAGAAAAAGATCATAAAGGCGACAAAGAAAATTTGTGAACGGAGGTCTGCTGAACTAATGCACTTATCATCAATCCTGGGTCTCATGATATCCACAGTCGACTTGCTCCCTTGGGCATGATTCCATGCCAGACCCTTGCAGTGGACTCTGTTGTCTTATCAGAGAGAGATAAGGATGAAAAAACAAACAAATAAAAGTAAACTTTTCATTAAAGAAGTCCCTGAATTGGTGGACATCCCCCTTAAATTTCAATAAGGGAATAAGTTTCCTTCAGTCATCTCATCTTCTTGTGTCTACAGATGCCAGCACAGGGGGTTGAGGGGGGACACTGTCAGGGACAGGTCGCCCAAGGCGCGTGGAGTCCAGAGGAGATGACACACAGCATAAACTTGCAGGAACTGCTTGCAATCATACTGGCTTTAAGGGCCTTTCAAGATCACCTAGAAGGGAGGGAAGCGCTAATATGTGCCAACAACACAGCCGTGAGAGCACACATCAATTGTCAGGGGGGTACATGGTCAAAGTCTCTGTTTGAGGAGTCCAAGTTACTATTTCAATGGGCAGAAAAACACCTTGTGGAGATCAGAGCAGAACACCTGAGAGGTATAGCCAACCAAGAAGCAGACTGGCTAAGCAGGAAGGATCTCGGCCCAGGGGAGTGGAGTCTGAACAGGAACATTTTCCAGCAGGTGACGACACACTTTGGGACTCCAATCATGGACTTGTTAGCACTGTCTTCCCAGATTTCTTTCA